CTCTCTCTCTCTCTCTCTCTCTCTCTCTCTCTCTCTCTCTCTCTCTCTGTCTCTGTCTCCGCTCACAAACATCTATATTCACTGGTCCAGGTATCCCTGCATGGAATCTCTCATCCCACTCTTCTGATACCTGGAAAAAAGTAAGTAAAAATAAATAAATAAATAAATAAATAAAATCTCCTATCTGAAAATTTAACATTATACTTACCTGTAAACCATTTGCAGTTTTACTTTTTGTCTTTATCCCTGCATATGTCTCCTGCCTGCCGTTCCAAACACTTTCACAATAAAATACCTTTTATCTGTCTCATCTGGACTTTTGCAGCTATTGTTACACTGAACCATGTGAGGCTAAAACCGTACAATATGACAGGTTTAGTCAAACGTAACCTCCGCATGCTGTTTTGTCTTTGTTGAAACATGTCTTAGATTATCTGAGAACAGATTAGATTTAAAGGGCTTTAATGCAGCTGATGGATCAATTTGTTTTCCTGTGTGTTTTAGTGCGTCTGACAGTGCATCACTGACCCTTTCATTGCAGGATAAGGCTTTGCTTGTGCGTCCACTTTGATTTGATGACCAGAGAGAGGGCTGATTGACCTCCTGACCTCTTGTGAGGGGCGGTGCTCCTGGGTGTCCAGAGCCCCCCGTCGGAGGGTTAATGAGCGCCGGCTGCTCGGGCCATGGCTGGGGGACCAGACCAGATGACCACTCTCTGCTTTGACTCAAACATCCGTCTCCCCCTTTATGAGCCGGTCAGAACTTCAGGTTTGTTCAGCTGCTGCCTGTTAAAAAATAAAATCAGTTTAGCTTAATGCAAATATTTTAAATAAAGCTTGTCACAAAGGTGCTTTTCATAGTAGCACATGAACTGAAGGCCATTTGTCGCATTTTTATATAAAACAGCTCTGACAAGGAAGGCTTTTAATTGTATCGGAGTTGTTGAGTTATAAAAAGACTGGCATTTTCTTTCTCCTAATTAGCTCAAACCTGATCTTTTCCTTTATCTCTAAAACCTTTTCTCTCTGCGTTAATTCGCCCCGTGCGTCCAGTGCGTTTGACCGACGATGCAGTTGTGTTTCAGTGAACCCTCCGTCCACAGAAACCCAGCTTAATGCATCCCTGTCCCAGTGTGGACGCTGGTGAAAGTGAACAGGGCAATGAATTTTAAACTGCCAGAGGAACAGCTCTCAGACATGTGGTTTCAGTGTGTGAGTGGGTGGGCGTGCGTGTGTGCAGTTAGGATTTGTGTCTATGTATCAGCGTGAATGTAGGGGAGAWGTGCATTAATGGGAGGTGGGGTGGGAGTCAGCCCTGGATGTGTGAGTTTATGTGCTGAGGATAAAGACCTAGAAAAGCAGCCTAACTTAGCTGACAGGTGACAAGGGTTGTTTTCAATGGGGATTTTGTAATACCAACAGTGAGGAAAAAGGCCRGGGTATCGAGGGACCCCTGAAAAGAGAGAAAGAGGACTTTTCTTCTGGCAGAGAAGGAAGACAGAAAAAACCCTGAAGGCCCCGAAGGACTTAAGGATCCCACTAATCAAACTGCTCCACCGTCTAGCGCACTCATTTTTATTTAAAACACAGAAATGCTAAATCATTCCAATCGGATTGATCCCCCATGTCAGAGCTTGTGTGGTATTTTCATTCTCCCCTCTTCTGTCTTGTCCTCAACTTTGACATATCAGTCAAGCAAGGACAGAGCTGCAACAAAAAGGATGGATCCAGAGGCGGCCTAAGGGCTGAGAAGTGGCATTTTAAATGTTGTTTGTGAATTTGCATGCATTAACTCTTCCTCTTGAAAGGAAAAACTGAAGATTTGGGCGGGTGGTTGGAGCATTTTCCCTCAAAAATAAATTCACGAGGGGAAAAAGTGCCACTTTGAACCTAATCACAAAGAAAAGATTTTAATTAGAGATGTTTATTTATGTTAGACATCATGAAACAATAAAAAAATCTTAACATCTCACATTACAATAAATTAAACAAAAATATTTAAAGACATTATGATTTTATATTAGTAGGGCTTGTTGTGAAGGTAACGGAAATATACACGCACATATAAGTATGTATTTACCACTAT